AATTGTCCAAGTCCTAGGGCTCCTGGCTTCAGGTCGGCTCAGCTCTGGCCATTTCAGCCATTTGAGGAGTGAAAGATCTCTACAATGATGAAAGATCTCTCTCTCTCTATCTCTCTCTCTCTCTCTCTCTCTCTCTCTCTCTCTCTCTCCTTGTCTCTACCTCTACCTCTACCTCTCTGTAACTCCTTTGAATAAATAAAATAAATCTTTAAAAAAAAGGACTAAATCAGGATGATATACAGAACCTAAATGGACTTGTAACAAGCAATGAGATTGGGGCAGTAACCAAAAGTCTTACATCAAGGAAAAGCCCAGGACCTGATAGCTTTGCTGCTGGATTCTATAAAACATTCAAAGAGCAAGTAACTCCACTGCACTGCGCTGATCCGATGGCAGGAGCCAGGTACTTCTCCTGGTCTCCCATGCGGGTGCAGGGCCCAAGCACTTGGGCCATCCTCCACCGCACTCCCTGGCCACAGAAGAGAGCTGGCCTGGAAGAGGGGCAACCGGGACAGAATCCGGCGCCCCGACTGGGACTAGAACCCGGTGTGCCGGCACTGCAAGGCAGAGGATTAGCCTAGTGAGCCGCGGCACTGGCCAATTCTACCTCTTTATTATTTAAGAAGTGAGCATGAAAATGCCAATGTTTTTCTCAACCGTATCTATGGGACAGCCCCACTCAAATTTCCCTGGAGCTGTTTCACAGATCCTGACACACAATGTACACACCCAGATCCCACACCTTATGGAAAATGTGACACAACACAGACCCACATCGCTGGGTCAGAGGGCAAGTGCTGGGCCTTCCCAAAGGTGCGCACGAGGTGTGACTGACACAGGGCCCTCCACTGTGGGGTGACGGGGACTGTCACAACCACTGGAGGAAGCCATGGATGCAAATCACCATGCACAAGGCCCAGACAGAGCCACTTTTACATCGATGGATGCTGTCTGTAAGGGCTTCTATCATCCAAGGGCTCCTACAACTTCATCCCGTCCATGGTTCCTCAGTAGGAAGCTGGGACCTGTACTGTGTCCATAGCGAAAGAATCCTACTGGAAAACCCTTACCTATGTCGCTTAGGGAAGTATGAACAAAAGTGAGTGAGCCTGTAAGACATGTAACTATTTAAATACTCATAAATTCTATGAACTAGTTAATCTTCCTTTACCTGTGTAGCTGTATCCTTGCATCTGGGAAGTTTCAACATCCTAGGAGGAAAGAATTGGTACCATCATTATTTACAGAGATGTCTACTTCCTGAATGGATAAATTGTTTACCCTCCTGAATGGATAAATGTACATGATCCAACTTTATGCTGTCTACACTGAATTCAAAGATAAATATACATATAAGCTGAAAATGTAAGGATTGGAGGGGCCAGTATAGTGCAATAGTGGGTAAAGCCGCCGCCTGCAGCACTGGCATCCCGTAAGGGTGCCAGTTCAAGACCCGGCAGCTCCACTTCCAATCCAGCTCTCTGCTATGGCCTGGGAAAGCAGTAGAAGATGGCCCAAGTCCTTGGGCCCCTGCACCAGCATGGGAGACCCAGAAGAAGCTCCTGGCTCCTGGCTTCAGAATGGCTCAGCTCATGCCATTGCAGCCTTTCAGGGAGTGAACCAGCAGATGGAAGACTTTTCTCCCTGTCTCTGTCTCTCTGTACCTCTTTTTTTTTAAAAAAAAAAAAAAGAGCAAAAATGAAGGGTTGGAAAAAGATATATCATGTAAATGGAAACCAGCAACAAGCTGCAGGAACCATATTGATATCAGATAAAATAGACTTTAAATTAAGAGCTGCAAAAAGAGACAAGGATATCATATATTCATAAAAGGATCAATTCATCAAGATAATATAACATATATGAAAATACAGGCACACAAGACCATACAAATACAGTAAATATTATTAGGGCTAAAGGGAGAGATAGACTCTACCACAGTAACACCAGGAGACTTCAACCACTGACAGGCATCAAAGAAACATCAGAGTTGTACCATATCATATAGCAAATGGACCTAGGAGACTTTAAACATCATTTCCCCAACAATTATAGAGTACACATTCTACTCATCAGCACATGGAACATTTTCTAGGATAGACCCCAGATGAGGCCACAAATCAAGACTCAGTAAACAAAAAAATAAATTGACGTCATGTATATTTTCAAACCACAAAGGAAAACATTTAGAAATCAATTATGCGGGCCAGAGCTGTGGTGTAGTGGGTGAAGCTGCCTCCTGCAGTGCCAGCATCCCATATGGGAGCTGGTTCGAGTCCTGGCTGCTCCACTTCCAATCCAGCTCTCTGCTATGGCCTGGGAAAGCAGCAGAAGATGGCCCAAGTCCTTGGGCCTCTGCACCCATGTGGGAAACCTGGAGGAAACTCCTGGATCCTGCCTTCGAATCAGCATAGCTCCAGCTATTGTGGCTAATTGGTGAGTGAACCAGCGAATGGACGCCCCCCACCCTCCGCTGCTTCTCCTTTGTGTAATTCTGACTTTCAAATAAATAAATAAATCTTTAAAAATGTTAATTGGGGCCGGCGCCGCAGCTCACTAGGCTAATCCTCCACCTAGCGGCGCCGGCACACCGGGTTCTAGTCCCGGTCGGGGCGCCGGATTCTGTCCCGGTTGCCCCTCTTCCAGGCCAGATCTCTGCTGTGGCCCGGGAAGGCAGTGGAGGATGGACCAGGTGCTTGGGCCCTGCACCCCATGGGAGACCAGGAAAAGCACCTGGCTCCTGGCTCCTGCCATGGGATCAGCACAGTGCGCTGGCCGCAGTGCGCCGGCCGCGGCGGCGATTGGAGGGTGAACCAATGGCAAAGGAAGACCTTTCTCTCTGTCTCTCTCTCTCTCACTGTCCACTCTGCCTGTCAAAAAAAATATTAATTGTAACAATAGAAAATCTGCAAATACATGGAAATTAAAGAACATGCTACTGAATGACTAATGGATCATGGAAGAAATTAAAGTAGAAATAAAAATTCTTGAAACAAATGAGAATATCAACAAAGCATATCAAAATCTGAGGACAGCCAATGCAGTATTCCGAGGAAGGTTTACAACAACAAGCTTCCCTTAAAATGGAAAGATCTCAAATAAATTATCTAATATTCAAGTTAAAGACTTGGAAAAGCAAGAAAAACCATACCCAAAATTAGTAGGAGGTGAGAAATCAAGAGAATCAGAGCAGAAATTAATGAAACTCAAACAAAACTAACAACTCTTAAAATCAAAAAAAAGGAAAAGATGGTTTTTGAAAAATAAGCAAAACAGCTAAATCTTTAGCCAACTAACAAAGAAAACAGAGAAAAAACCTAAAATAAATAAAATTAGAGATGAAACATGATACCACAGAAACACAAAGAATTACAAGTGACTCCTGTGAATGACTTTGTGCTATCAACTTAGAAAACCTTGAAGAGATAGATGAATTCCTGGGTGCACGCTATCTGCCAATATTACTTCAAGAAGATATAGAAAACCATAACAATGTGATTGAAGCAGTACCTAAAGTCTCCTGTCAAAGAAAGGTCCAGGACCTGATGTCTTTACAACTGAATTCTACAGAACATTTAGACAGGAACTAACTCCAATACTTTGCAAATTATTCCAAAACACTGAAAATGAAAGAATTCTGCTGAATTATTTTTATGAGGCCAGTGTTACTCTGATACCAAAACCAAAGACATAACATAAAAAGTAAACTACAGACCAATATTCCTGATACACACAGATGTAGAAATGCTCAACAAAAGATTAGCAAACTGAATCCAACACTACATCAAAAAGATCATATACCATGATCAACTAGCATTTACCCCAGAGGTGCAAGTGTGGTTCAACATTCACAAACCCATAAATATAAGTCACAGTAGCAGACTGAAGAACACCATATGATCATCTCGATAGATGCAGAGAAATCATGATTCAGCATCCCATCTCTATAAAAACCCTCAACAAATTAGTTCTACAAGCAGCATATCTCAAAATGATACAGCTACATGTGTGTGCATGTATGTATATGACAAACTGGCAATCAGTATCATCCTGAATTCAGAACACTTGAAAGCAGATCCAGAACAAGACAAGGATGTCCAATTTTTACCACTCGTACTTGATATAGTGTTGAGAGCATGAGCAAGGGGGAGGGGGCGCTGTGCTGTGGCGTAGTGAGTAAAGCCACTGCCTGTAGTGCCAGTATCCCTTATGGGTGCCAGTTTCTGTCCTGGATGCTCCTCTTCTGATCCAGCTCTCTGCTATGGCCTGGGAAAGCAGTGGAAGATGGCCCAAGTCCTTGGTCCCCTGTACCCACGTGGGAGACCCAGAAGAAGCGCCTGGCTCCTGGCTTCGATCGGCACAGCTCTGGCAGTTGCACCCATCTGGGGAGTGAACCAGTGGATGGAAGACCTCTCTCTCTCTCTCTCTCTCTCTCTCTTTCTGCTTCTGCCTCCGCCTCTGCCTCTCTGTAACTCTGCCTTTCAAATAAATAAATATATCTTAAAAATTAGAAAGTTTTAGCATGAGCAATTACAGAATTAAAGAAACAATGAGCTTCAAATGTCACAGAAGACGAAACCAAATATCCATGTTTGCAGATGACATGATGCTGTACAGTGCTAGGTCATGCCTCTCATTCAAACTGTTACCTCAACTATATTGGAAACAGATCCTCTTAAGTCACTCAACTTACTTCACAAGGAGGGAATGATAATGTGTGGGTCTTGGAGTCAGTTTTGGAAACAAAACTTGGACTCTAAAATGACCACGCTTGGACACTGAAAAATATGTGTGTAGACAGCAGTACAGCATCACCTACAGTGTGGCATGGCTCACTTTGAAAATTCCATGGTGTCCTGTCGCCAGGGTAACAAGGTGAGTGACATCATCCTGCCATTCCAACTGTCACTCTCTTGAGCTGAAAGGTTCAAACTTGAGTGAGGTGGGAACATGCGTATCGTCCTATCCAGAGTGGTCGCGATGGGAAATCTCAACTGCTGTCCAGCAGGTAGGCCACACTGACCTCCACAATGCTGCTTCTCCACCGGCCACTTACCTTCTGCTTAATCACTCTCTTCATGGACTGTCATTTCCCCATTCCAGGCTGTCTACAGATTTATAAAGATAGTTGGTCATCCGTATTATTCAGTTTCTACTTTTGATGCTTCTGTTAAGTTTGTTGTTTCAAAATATTTCCTAAATTTAGAGAAACACATTATTTCCAATGTCAAGTTTGTTCACACCTTATCCAGAGAATGATGACAGGAAAGAAACTCACACTACTCTCTTCAGTCAGGAAAAATTAAGACCAAACACAACACAGACATCACACAAAAAGGCACTTTCAAGTCAATCTCTTTTCTTTGAGGAGGTCGCCATCTGAGACCAAGACTGTAAGAACAGTCTGAACCCAGATATCTTTTTGTCACATTGGAAGAAACCAGGATTTCAGGGTGGGGTGGATAAACACATGAACCCTGCTGTTTGGGGGTTACAGGGAAATGGGGAGGAGGGACAGCGCCATTGGACAGTGGGGCAGACATCTGAAGACAGAGAGAAGGGGGCCTGCCTGATGGTCCTCAAGCACAATCATGGGTTGGATGGGGCAAGCCTGGCGATGGATGAACCTCACCGATGGGAGAGGGAACTGTGTATGCTGTCCCTGCAGGGTCTAGAGAGAGGTGAAGAGTTCCTAGGGACTGGGTTTTGGTGAGAAAGGTCATGGGCATGAAGGTGCAAACACAGAGTTGCTACAGACATTGCCTTTTTCAGACAGGGATTTGAGACTGCTCAGCCACTTTCTCTGAAGGACAGATATTAACTTTTCTGTAGCATTAAAAAATTCATCTGAGACAGAGTAAATGATAAAGGAAGAAGACCCCCAAGCTCAGGATTCTCAAGTCTAGCAGTCCAAGATCAGGTGCCCATATCAAGAGTCCCATGTTGTGTCCCATCATTGTGGAAAAGTAGAAGAGCAAGCAGAGTGACAGAAGAGAGACAGGAAGAGGGGTTGGGCTTGTGTTCTAGTGACTCTCCCCCGTATTAACCAATTCAGTACTGAGAGAACCACACAAACTCCTTTCAACAACCTGATCCATTATTGAATGGGAAAACTGGGAAGAAAGTGAGGAACTGCAATGATCATACACTTCTCTGTGGTCTCCTGCCAGCTGGATGTCAACAGCTGTCTGTATTGTCATACTGTTCCAGGTTCTTGTCTAAAGAGTTTTAGACGAAAAGGAAGTTGGAGGTCAAGAACATCGACTGTCCATTCCACACAGAAGGCCGGAAAAATCCATGTCTTGCCAAAGAACAGGATGCCCACAACAAAGGAATCAGTTGAAGGTACTCTGCAAATTCAATCATGAAGCACATTCAACAATCAGGATTCTGCTTTATTCAGGGCCTCATAGTTAAGACAAAACTCTTAAAAAGCTATTCTATCTGTATCTTTCATTCCGTGACTGCAAAATTAAAATTGGTCAACTCAATCAGCAGGGTGACCACTACACAGGGAAGACATGTTAACAACTTAAACTTGGGGTCACTGTTAGTAGTAACATCTAAGCTACTATTCAGACGTTTGCCCAATTGTCCAACATGGGCTGAAATGGACATCTTACTGAGAGAGTACCACCAGATTTCACACCAATATTAACAATTGGAGATAAAATAGGAAAACTGAACAGATAGCTCCTAAGGTTCTCATACTGGACTCCCACTTCCCTTTTTCTGATGACACTTCCACTAGTAGGGTACATTTGTTATGGAGACTGAACCAATAAAGAAATGTTACTATTGACTCAACTCCCAAGTCTGCACTAAGGTGGTTTCTGATGGTACAGTCCTAGGAGTTATTCATCTTTACCCATGTTTCTATAACCCTTGAATGACCCCAGAACATGACCCTAGAACTGGTCATTTTAAATATCTGTTTAGTCATTCTTTTTCAGTTTCCTAGAGTTGGAATTAGATTTGGTAACATACATCTAAGAACTCTCCTGCTCCTTTTTGTGGCTTGATTGCTCAATGAATTTCATCACTGAGTTATACCCCCTTGGATAGATGGGCCAATGTTCTTGGTCCTGGTTTCCAATTTAAGCAATCAGGAAGAAAGCCACCAGAAACAGTCATGTGGCAGGGTTCTGTGGGGACAAAATTTTTTAAATTAATTGGGTAAACACCTAGGACTATGGCCCCTTGCTTGGATGGGGATGACATTTTTCTTGGTAAAACTGACTGGAGTTCACCAATGAATCCACATGGCCCTGACACCTTCTTTCACTTTTTGTAGCTGTAAAGTTCTCTTCAAAGGCTCGGGCCCATGGGTTAGTTTGGGTAGTTTCTGACTCTGAAGGAATTTCAGGCTTCGTTGAACCTACTTGTGGGCATACAGTATGTAAAGTACTTTTTTCTTTTCCTTTTCCTGTCCATGCCATGAAAGGTGAGGATTCCCTTCTCATTTGCAGTACCAGACATTGTTTCTCCTCTTTTTGCCTTGTGCTTAGACAGGCGGAGGTTTCACAATCTTATGCATTTTTTTCAAAAGAAATATTTTTTGACTTTTTGTTTTATTCTGCCCATTTCCTATTTCCTATTACATTCATTTCTGAGAAAATTGCTATTTTTTCATTTTTTATCTAATTTACATCGGATTGCTTTTGGTCATCTACTTTTCTGGGCTGTAAGAATCCCTTATTGATTTTAGATCATCATTGTTTTCTAAAGTGTTTCACTCAAGGGCTCCATTTTCCTTCTGAGCACTGCTTCATTGCAACCCAAAGTTGCAAAATGGGTTTTTATTTGCTTTGTTCAAAATAGTTTAAAATGTCTATACAGTCTTCTTTGTCCCATTTGTTTTGGAGAGTATGCTTTTTAGCTTCCATAGTTCTTACAAAATTTACCAAGTAATCTTCATTGCATTGATTGAACTCTATTGTATTACCATAGTTGCCTAATGGCACAAGCTGTGTGACTTACATTACTTTAAGTGAGTGGTTGTGTGACAGAGCTCATACTTTGATCTGCCTTGGAGACTTCTTCATATGAACCTGAGAAGAATGTGTTTCCCTCATGGCTGAAATGTCTCTACACGCCAATCAAAATAGTTAGTTGAGGGATAATAATTTTCTCAGGCTGCCATAATCAAGTGCCTGGTTGGTGGTCAGTTTGAAGTACATGATATTTCATTTTCCCACAGGTCTGGAGATTGGGTGTCAGAAATCTAGGTTTATGCATAGTCACCCTCCCACAGAAACCCATCAGGACTAATCTTTCCTGTCCCTTCCCAGCTTCTGCTGGTTTCCTGGAAATCCTGGGCCTCCTGTGTGCCTACCATAGCACCTGAATTTCTGCCCCCATCATTTCATGGCATCCTTCCATCTTGGACCTGTTTCCTCATCTTGTAAAAATGCCAGTCATATGGGAACAAGTCCTTGCTACTCCAATATGAATTCATATTAACTGGATAATCCTCCAATGACTCCATGCCCAAATAAGGTCACCTTCACAGGTCCTTCAAGTGAAAGGGGGAGGGAACATGCTGAAGCCCTCATACTGCTGTTCATTTCAACTCCACCTGGCTTGTTTCATTCCTGCTCAGTCAATTTTCAACAGTAGTGAATTTGTGCCCCCCCCCATGCCACTCTACTGGAGGTCTCTGACTCTAATAAACCTTTTATATTTTAAGATTTATTTATTTATTTGAAAGTCAGAGTTACACAGAGACAGAAGGAGAGGCAGAGAGAGGAGTCCTCCATCCGCAACTGGCCACAGTGGCTGGAGCTGGGCTGATCTGAAGCCAGGAGCCAGGAGATTCTTCCAGGTCTCCCATATGGGTGCAGGGGCCCAAGGACTTGGACCATCTTCTACTGCTCTCCCAGGCCATAGCAGAGAGCTGGATTGGAAATGGAGCAGCCGGGTCTCAAGCCTGTGCCCATATGGGATGCCAGCACTGCAGGTAGCAGCTTAACCTGCTACGTCACAGTGCAGGCCTCCTCTAATAAATCTCAAAAAAAAATATTGAATTTGTCTATCCGCCCTTGTAGTTCCATCCATTTTTGCCTCAAGAATTCTGAGGCTCTACTATCAGGCAAATGCACAGTAAATATTGATCTAGACTGTTCAACAACATTTGCTTTATTACAGAATGCCCATATTTGTCTCTAATACTGACCTTATTCTGAGATCTGATTATAAGAATAAATTAGAGCTAATGGCTGTAATGGCTGGAGCTGTGCTAATCCAAAGCCAGGAGCCAGGCACAACTTCCTCATCTCCCACGTGGGGCAGGGGCCCAAGGACTTGGGCCATCTTCCACTGCTTTCCCAGGCCATAGCAGAGAGCTGGACTGGAAGAGGGGCAGTTGGGACTAGAACTGGTGCCCATACGGGATGCCAGCACTTCAGCCAGAGGATTAACCTACTGTGCCATGGTGCCGGCCCCTATGTTGGCTTTTTTGAGGTAGTATCTCCCTGTCACTCTCTGTGTATCACCAAAAAGTGGACGGCAGAAGATGAAGCAGGTATCTCTCTGTACATAAGTTTTCACGGCAAGCAGAAAGCAGAAACAACAAAAACTGGGTTATTTCCCAGTATCCAACAACAAACAGATGAGTAATGACAATGTGGTATATGAACACAATGGAAGTGTTTTAATATGTAAAATGAATTAACGTTTTATACCACACCAGGGATGGACATGGTAACACATGACACTGTAATAAGGTGGACACAGAAAGACAAACATTGTATGTTTCCATTACAATGACATGTCTACACTAGGCAAATTCAAAGGGACTGGAAGTACAGATTAGTCGGGGATGGAAGGAGGAGAAGGTAAAGTTCTTCCGTTATAGATGCAGAGTTTAGATTGGGTATGAAGACAATTGTTGGGGCACACAGGGGTGGTGCTTACACAGCATTGCCAAGTAATTCATGCCACTGAAATTTTCACTTACAAGTGATTCAGATAATAAATGTCCACTTGCCCAGAGCAATTTAAAAATGCATGAAAGGAAAGATGGCAAATGTAATAGCTGCTTATGTAGATTCATGGAGGTAAATGATCTTGGGACACAACAAGAAAAATGTGGGGATTTCCATGGTCTACATTTTGGGCATTTCCATGCCCATTTTGGGCAGGAGCAATGATGAGGCATCATCAAGGAATCAGTGCACTATGGCATTCGCCTATTTCTAAATTGACTGTTCCGTAATGATTTGGTTGCTGGTAGGAAGAAAGCCAAAACTCCCCTTCTCATTTCTTTCCTGCTCCTCTTCTTGGGCTTTGTCATCCACCAGGGAGGATGGCCCAGCAGTGGCACATGTGCAGTTCCAAGCCCACATCAGGTGGCCTTCCTGCTACTTGTGGGTGCAGGGCTGGCTTGTCTTTTTCTTGCTCTGTTACTGAGTGCAGCACAGAACTCCTGACATTGTTCACTGCTCACCAACCACTCACACACAGCCTAGGCCCATGTCCACAGCAAGCAAGTCTCCCTACCGAACTCATCCACAACACCTGACAGTTACCCTGTGGTTCTCCTAGCTGCTCCTGAGGACCTGGTGGAAGCGATTCCGAGAGACAGAGCAGAGGAGGAGGTCACATCTCTTGGCAAGGTATGACTGGGGTTTTTGGTCACAGAAAGAAATGTTCCTGGTATACAATCACTAGTCTTATTTACTTACTTATTGGAGTTAGAGAGATAGGGGAACAAGGCAAAAGATCTTCCATCTAGTAGTTTACTCCCCAGATGCCTTCAAAGGCCAGAGTTGGTCCAGGCCAAAGCCAGGAGTCCAGTGCGCTATCCAGATCTCCCACATGAGTGACAGGGGACATTCTCCATGCCTCCCCAGGCACAACAGCATGGCATTGTATTGGAAGCTGAGCAACCAGGATGCAAACTGGCACTGCAGGATGGACTGCTGGCACTGCAGGCAGCAGTTCCGTTCACTGTGTCACAACATCAGGCCCAGGCAACGTTTTTCTCAGATACGAAAATCTGAACACCTATACTGCAGATGACTTCCACAATTTATTTGTGGGAGAAGCCCAGGGCATGTCTGTTATAAAGTGAGACATGACTCAAGAGGGTCTCCTGAAATCACAGCATCAATTACAAGTGATGTGGTGCTGGGCATTGTCCACAGGAGCAGTTCTGCATAGTTTAAATATTTTACTAATTTAAAAGATTTATTCATTATTTGAAAGGCAGAATAACAGAGAGACAGACAGACAAAGATCTTAAATCCTCTGGTTACCTTCCCAAATGGCTATAATGGCTGGGCCTGGCCATGTGGAAGCCAGGAGTCAGTAACTCCATCTGGGGGTCTCCCACTGGTTGGAAGGGACTCAAATACTTGGGACATCCTCCACTGCCTTCCCAGGTACATGAGCAGGGAACTGGCAGCAGCAGGGCAGCCTGGACTTGATTTGGTGCTCTGATATAGGATCCTTGCCTCACAGGGGGCAGCCTAACCCAGTGTGCCACAAGGTCAACCCCCAGGTTTTCATTTTCACAAATGAATGTTGCATTTGCCAACCAAAATGAACATGTAAAATGGGCTGTGAAAAGCTCACGTATTTCACACAAGTATCCTCTGTGCTTTATTTGGGGCATTTGCCTCATGCACTGATCCCATCAAGTTTCCCAAGGTCAGCACCAGGAGAAGAGACCTGTGCAAACAGTATCTGACCTCACAGTGACTTCCTTTCTCTGACTGCAGGTGGACTCAGGATCCAGTGGACACTGTACGTATTCTAGAATGCCTCCGGTGCTGAGGAACAACTGAAGGGAGGAGACACTGGGACCTTCCTGCCGGTTCTCTTCTGGAGAGCCAACCTGATTCCAGCTTCCTGGTGGATTAAAAAGATTGAGGGTGTGGTAAAACAAAACCAGAAAGACTATCACATAGCTACAGGCATCTAAGGCAGGCCCTGGAAATAGCTATGTCATTTAGATGGTGGGGGTTTCTGTGCCCCAGTATGGTGAGTTTTTATGAGTGAGCGTGTATGTCTTTGAAAGTGCTTGGATGCGTATATGTGTACAGACTTCCCACAGAAAAAGTGTTCCCAAATGCACAGCTCAAGGTTCAATTCTCAAAAAACAAAAACAAAAAGAACCTGATCACCCTCCACACTTTATGTAAATGAGTTCATTCAACCCTCACCCCACATGTGTCTGATGGTTAGGTCACAATTCCATGGCTTAGCTGGATATGAAACATACTCCCAACATATGTGAAAAGTATTTAATACTAATAAAAACAGTTTAAAATATATTTAGGGAGCTGGAAAGGTCAACATGATTTGATCATCACACACTGTCTGCATACAATGAATCCTTATGCTATAATCCATAAAGATACCATTTATAATGGCAATAAAAACAATAAGATCAGGAGAAAAGTTTTACCATAATGCCTTGTGCTCATTTTTAAATGGTGGAATTTCAACATTTTTACATCTTCTTCATTTACTTGTGTGGTACCTAGGGATTGGCAATAAATGAACATGTTGCTTTGCCTACAACTGAGTCTTTCTCCCCATAACGGGTGCTTTTAATTAAGTTCAGAAGCTCATAGGAGAGATGACATATTCAAATACAATAAACAGATATTGATCCCTGAGTAGTAGTGACCTTGGGAAACATAAAGACGACAGTAGCAGTTTATTTGGCTTCTAAGCATGCAGGAGTCGTCCCAGGATTCTTACGGAAATACAGCAACCGTGGTGGTATTGGCCCCAAATAGTTCCCATGAATGAAGCTGCCTTGAGCTAGAAAGCTTAAAGCTCTGCTTCTCAGGTCTTTCACGTTCTTCTCCTCGGCCTTAACCCTCACCCCATGCCCATGTCCACCAATGCTCCCTGAAGCACCAGTGTACTGACAGTCACCATATGTCCGTCTAGTGCCCCTGGAGGATGCATGGGAGGAGCTTCCTGGTGACACGGAGGATAAAGAAACTCCAGAGTACACTGAGGTAAGGGCCCCTGCCTTCCTCTAAAACAGAAATGTTCCTTCCTTGGCTTCTTCCTTTCTCAACCAGATGAAGAGAAGAAAAATCTGACCATGGATAGGGTCCATGATACACCCTGTGCACGGTGAGGGCCACTGAGAGGGAGAGTTTATATCAACAGAGAGCTGACGTGGGACACAGGGACAAAATGACTGTCAGGACTGGACCACAGCAAGCTTTTCTCTGCAGCACTTCTCCGCTTTTGAAAGGAATATTGTGACTTCCAACCACAGTGGACTGGAGAGACACGTCCCCCATGAAGAGCTCATGCCTCCTGGCCTGAGTGTGATCGCTCTGCTCACGTCTTTGGGTTCCCTCCATAGGACCACTCTCTCACACGGGGTTTCCCAGTGTCACCAAGAGCATTAAAGACAGGTGCAAAGGGACACAGAGTGCTCAGACCCTCATGGTGCCATTTTCTAATTACAGGTGATCTCAATACGAACAGCAAGTGGTATGTATTCGGGAATCACGTACTCCCTGTAGTACGAATAGTCCAGATGACAGCACAGATGGGACTATCTTGGGGCCTTTAGTGTGGAAGGCCACCTGATGCCCAATTCCTGCTATGAAAGAGGACTAGGAGTGTGGTGGTGGGAAATTAACTTCCTCATAAAGGGTAATGATCATTTTCTGGGGTCCCTGGAAGATACTGGCTTGTGCATGGGGGTGGGCTTTATCTCTGTGGATTCCCATGTATTACAGTTCAGTTCAGAGTGCACACGTCTGGCAGTTTGTGTGTATTACCCTAGTTATGTTCCTCTGAAGCCACTATCAGTTCTCTATAAAAAAAACAATCACAGAGGTATTGCTGCATGGTTATAGGAATATGTATATAAAAGAGTGAGGGGTTTCAGATGCAGGCTGGAGGCACCGTATTTCAGTGCACTAGGGAAAGTGAGATGTTGAGAGGTGGTGCCGTCAGCTCCTCTCCCTCCCTGGAAGGTTTGAAGCTGTGGTCAATGTCTGCCTGAAGGTCAGGTCCACAGAGCCCAGGAAGGGGCTGAGAGCACAAGAAGGGGCAGGGTCATGCTGAGCAATCCAGTGGAGGAACGGGCAAGACGCTCTGTGAATACTTACTGTCTGTGTTTGTGTCTCTCAAGATTGGGTCTTACAGAGCGTTCCCGACTATAACAGTGAGGATGAAGCCCAGTGGCTACCTATGGAGGAACAAGGTGACACTTCTTAGGCACAGTGATGGGAATCTGAGGCAGGAAGAAGAAGGCAAAGTTCAGAGATCCTCTCACTTATACAGAGGTGAAGCCATCTAGGCCCTGGGATAGGGATACAGACATGGGGTCCAAGGTTGGCCTACATCATCCAACCAGCAGCAGGGATCCGAGTCCTCACCTCAAGTCTAACTCTCCCCTTTCCTTCTCCCTGCAACCACAACACCCCTGCTCTGGTGCACATGGAAGGCTATGTGGCTGCATCCGAACATTCCCTCGGGAGCAGCGATCTGGGAGTAAGTGATTTCTTCTTTCATCTCTTTTCTGATTCTCTTGCTTTCTTGCTCACAAGCCCCTGGCCCTGCTTCTCCCACATTCCCTCCTCACCACAGTGGATGATTCGCATCCTGAAGGACCTGGTGGCATCCAGGCAGTGGATGTCCTTGCACTGTGGATGCTGATCCAGTCTCTCTACAGCCCTCCCCTCTCCCTTCATCAGCCCTGCCCTCACTCCTCACCCCCACACTGCACTATGAAACGGTGCTGAGGAACACGACTGCCCACATAGGGCGCTGGGGTGGGACAGGCAAAGTTGGGCACCAATCTCATTGGGAGAGAGGACTCCAGGGAAGTCTGACTCTGGCCTCCATGTCCCCCAGGAGAGGGCTTTTCCTTAATGCCTGGTTCAGGAAACATATTTGTCTCCTTCCAGCTGTCCACATGTTCCCTGGATGTGAACTATCCCCAAAGTCTTCAGGACATGGAGGACCTCGATGAAGATCAGGAAATGTGAGTTTGGAGCAGGTAGACGGGGGTCAGGGAAGTAAGGGCACATGGACTCCATTGCTTCACATTCTTTGTGACACCTCAGGGAAGCCAACAAACTGGAGCCCAGAGGTGGAGAGGCTGCCGTCGAGCCTGACCTGGAGAGTGGAGAGGAATGGCTATTCAGAATCCACACAGGTGAGTGAAGGATGCGCCCTGAGGTGGTTCCAGGGACACATCCTCCTAGGGCTCCCAGGCTGAGCCCCCAGAGCTGTTTTCATCTGAAGGGAAGGCTGGGGGTGCTGGTACGACTGGCATGTGAATGGCTTCAGTGTGGCCACGGGTGGTGGTGTTTCTGGAAGAGCCACCAGAGCCACTCAACACCTCCCTCTAGAGGGCACTTTCCTGCCTGCCCGACATGGATGCCAACAGGGAGCCTCACCAGCTGTGGTGGGACACTGGTGTTGTCCCTGAGCTCCTCCACCTCGAGACAATGAGGTGAGGATGGACAGAGGGAGGCACCTCTGGGCTCCTTTTCACACCAGAAGAGGCCACAGATCCACCTTTGCAGCCTTGTGGGTACGAGGCCCATCCTGACACCACTTAGAGGCCAGTGCAGAACAAGGGGCTGCTGGGATTTCCCCAATCCTCGGGGGGCCCTCAGCCCCTTTTCTTAGAGGGTGATGACCGAGGCTTTTTAAAATATGTTTAAACTGTTTTATTGGGGGGGATATAAAATCATCTGTATAGCTGTCAAGTTCTAACAGAAACACTTGACATCAATTCAAAGCAAAGATCACTTTGGAGAGACACAGGAGCAGGGCCACAAGTCCCTCTGTTCTTCTCATCTGTGCTCTGATTTTACACTTCAATTACACACACACACTGGTTTTATGACCCTTTCAGAAGAAGTGGCTTCCATCCCAGTTCCATGCTGAAAGGTACTAAAGGAATCATGATATGGTTTTAATGCCACAAAATAACTGTTTCCAATTACATGCTTGAGATCAGATCTACAGGGAGGATAGAAAGAAGTTCTGCAGGATTAGGGAAGGAAACCGAAGAGCTGGGGAAGTTGTCTGTAGTTAACATGTGGGTCACAGGCTGGATCCTGGATCCTGATGGTGAGGTCAGACTCGGCAGGATCACGGCCCCACCCTGTGTCATCAGACCCAGGGGAGTAGGCCTTGGCTTTTTAATCCCAGGACCAGGTTAGAATGTCTTACTTACACAAATCTACCAAAAATAGATGCTGCTGAATAAGTGGGGAAAAAGGGACACTAGCCCGCTGTTGCTGTGAATGCAAACTGGTAAAGCCTCTATGGAAGCCAGTGTGGAGATTCCTCAGAAACCTGAATATAACCCTACCATACAATCCAGCCAATCCTCTCCTTGGAATTTACCCAAAGGATATTAAATTGGCAAACAAAAGAGCTGTCTGCACCTCAATGTTTATTGCAGCTCAATTCACAATAGCTAAGACATGGAATCGACCTAAATGCCCATCAACAGTAGACTGGATAAATAAATTATGGGACATGTACTCTATAGAATACTATACAGCAGTAAAAAAAAATGAAATCTGGTCATTTGCAACAAAATGGAGGAATCTGGCAAACATCAAGCTGAGTGAAATAAGCCAGTCCCAAAGGGACAAATATCATACGTTCTCCCTGATTGGTGACAACTAACTGAGCATCTAAAAGGAAACCTGTTGAAGTGAAATGGACACTATGAGAAACAGTGACTTGATCAGCCCTTGTCCTGATTGTCGAGGAACAACTTACTACTTTATTCCTTTTAATATGTTTTTTTGTTCTATTTAGTACCATTGATTGAACTCCTTAATTAACACACAATTATTCTAAAGTGTTGAAATTTAACTGAAAAGTGATCCCCATTAAATCTAAGAGTGGGAGAAAGAGAGGGAGGAGATGTACAGTTTGGCACATGCACAATCGGACTTACCCCTAATGGTAGAGCTAGAAACATACCAGGGGATTCCAATTCATTCCCATCAAGGTGGCATGTACCAATGCATCTCACTAGTAAAACTGATCAATTTCAGTTCACAGTTGATCCTACTGATAGGCCTAAGAGTCAAAGGGACACATAAACAAGACTAGTGTCTGCTAATACTAACTGATAGAATAAAAAAGGGAGAGAACGATCCAACATGAGAAGCGGGATACACAGCAGACTCACAGAATGGCAGATGTTTTAAACAGCACTTTGGCCTCAGTTCAGCCCTAAAGGCATTCGGATCTGGCTGAAGAGCCCATGAGAGTATTTTAGGCATGGAAAGCCAAGACACTCAGGGAAAAAACAAATGACCTAAATGAAAGATCTATGTGAGTGAGATCCCAGCAGAAAGAACAGGCCATCAAAGAAAGAGGTACCTTTCTCTGAAGGGAGGAGAGAACTTCCACTTTGACTATGGCCTTGTCTAAACAAGATGGGAGTTGGCGAACTCAAGAGGCTCCCAGGCCAGCGCCGTGGCTCACTAGGCTAGTCCTCTGCCTGTGGCGCTGGAACCCCAGGTTCTAGTCCCGGTTGGGGCACTGGATTCTGTCCCAGTTGCTCCTCTTTCAGTCCAGCTCTCTGCTGTGGCCTGGGAGGGCAGCGGAGGATTGCCCAAGTGCTTGGGCCCTGCACCTGCATGGGAGACCAGGAGGAAGTTGGCTCCTGGCTTAGGATTGGCGCAACAAGCCGGCCGCAGCACATTGGCCATAGCACCCATTTGGGGGGTTAACCAATGGAAGGAAGACCTTTCTCTCTGACTCTAACTCTACCTGTCAAAATAAATAAATAAATAAATAAATAAATAAAGAGGCTTCCATAGCATTGGCAGCTCAGGACAAGAACCTCGGGTGATTACTGACATCATAAATAAGAGTGTCAATTGTTAAACCAACAACAGGTGTCACTGTGCACTTGCTCCTCATGTCGGATCTCTGTCCTTAATGTGTTGTACTATGTGAATTAACGGTATAACTGTTACTCAAACAAGTGCTCTATACTTTGTGTTTCTGTGTGGGTGCAAAATGTTGAAATTTTTACTTAGTGTATACTAAACTGATCTTCTGTATATAAAGATAATTGAAAATGAATCTTGATGTGAATGGGATGGGAGAGGGAGTGGGAGATAGGATGGTTGTGGTGGGAGGGAGTTTATGGGGGAAAAAGCCGCTACAATCCAAAAGTTGTACTTCGGAAATTTATATTTAGTAAATGAGAGAGAGAGAGAGAGAGAGAGAGAGAGAGAGAGAGAGAGAGAGAAATCCCAGGGCCCGAGAGACTTGCCCTTTCCTGTGCATCAAGTTCACAGTTTAAGGGGTCCCCTCCCTGAAGGCTGTCCCATGAATGCCTGGGGGAATTCGCCCTAGCAAATGGGCCTCAGTGACCAGGACCCTGACTACTGCTGAGTTCGGGAGATCCTGAGATCAGGAGCCCTGTGAGTGCTGTACACCCACCCCACTTCCCACACCCCTGCTGCATCCCTGTCCCCCCACTGACCCCTGCTCCTGTGTCTTTCTTGCAGACATCTTCAGCTGCTCGGAAGTCTGCAGTGTGGAGTCCTTGGACCCAGAGGAGCTGGAGCTTCCCACACCATCGGAAGCTTGAACCACACAGGAGGAGACACAACAGCAGCCACGGCCCTCCTCACCAGTCCTCTGCGAGCTCTGATATTAAATCATTACCGAGCACCAGTTGGTTTCATATGGTTTTGTCTAATAAAGCACAGTGTAGGAAAACAAGCTTAGCAAAGGTAGAAGTTCAAAGGGTCCGGGAGCTGTCACCTGGTGAGTGCCCTCACCAGCACTCTCTGGAAAGGAACCGGAAAGATGTGGTCTCCACTGAAAGTCACTGCCAGGCGTGGTCTTTTCAATCTGTGCTGCAGCAATGACTTCCTAGTGGTTGTGTTGTCTCGTGTCTGCTCCTCCTCTGGAAGGGACCATGAGGTCCATCTCACCCAGGACCTCTCATGACCACCTGGACGTCAAAGCATTTATCACCTAAGGTCAGCTTGGATGGCCCAAAATTCCTGACTTATCCTTTCTCTTCTTGAGTATCTTTTTTTTTCTCCTGTATTTTTTATTTTAAAGTATTGATCCAAACAGCGAAGTTACAGTTCTAGCCCATCTTTCTGTCTCTCTCTCTTTTTTTAACTTTTATTAATGAATATAAATTTCCAAATTACAACTTATGGATTACAATGGTTTCCCCCCCATACCGTCCCTCCCACCCACAACCCTCCCCTTTCCCACTCCCTCTCCCCTTCCATTCACATCAAGATTCATTTTCGATTATCTTAATATACAGATCAGCTTAGTATACATTAAGTAAGGATTTCAACAGTTTGTTCCCACACAGAAACATAAAGTGAAAAATAATAGATGATTTTTTCTAAATGTTCATGAAATCAGATCAGACCTATTGTCATGTTTAATCCCAGTGGGAGTCAAGTTGGGAATTGATAATTTCTTTTTTTTTGTACAGAAGATCAGTTTAGTATACATTAAGTAAAGATTTCAACGGTTTGCACCCCCATAGACACACAAAGTGAAATATACTGTTTGAGTACTCGTTATAGCATTAAGCCTCAATGTACAGTACATTAAGGACAGAGATCCTACATGAGGAGTAAGTGCACAGTGACTCCTGTTGTTGACTTTACAAATTGACACTCCTGTTTATGGCATCAGTAATCTCCCTATGCACCAGTCATGAGTTTCCAAGGCTATGGAAGCCCCTTGAGTTCTCCGACTCTTATCTTGTTTAGACAAGGTCATAGTCAAAGTGGAGGTTCTCTCCTCCCTTCAGAGAAAGGTACCTCCTTCTTTGAAGACCTGTTCTTTCCACTGGGATCTCACTCACAGAGATCTTTTTGCCAGAGTGTCTTGGCTTTCCATGCCTGAAATACTCTCATGGGCTTTTCAGCCAGATCCGAATGCCTTTAGGGCTGATTCTGAGGCCAGAGTGCTATTTAGGACATCTGCCATTCTATGAGTCTGCTGAGTATCTCACTTCCCATGTTGGATCACTCTCCCCTTTATTTATTCTATCGGTTAGTGTTAGCAGATACTAGACTTGTTTATGTGCTCCCTTTGACTCTTAGTGCTTTCATTATGATCAATTGTGAACTGAAATTGATCACTTGGACTAGTGAGATGGCATTGGTACATGCCACCTTGATGGGATTGAATTGGAATCCCCTGGTATGTTTCTAACTCTACCATTTGGGGCAAGTCAGCTTGAGCATGTCCCAAATTATACATCTCTTCCCTCTCTTATTCCCACTCTTATGTTTAACAGGGATCACATTTCAGTTAATTTTCAACACTTAAGAATAACTGTGTGATAATTACAGAATTAAACCAGTCATATTAAGTAGAACAGACAAAAAAAAATACTAAGAGGGATAATGTATTAAGTTGTTCATTAACAGCCAGGGCTATGCTGATCAAGTCACCATTTCTCATAGTGTCCATTTCACTTCAGGAGGTTTCCTTTTTGGTGTTCAGTCAGTCGTCACCGATCAGGGAGAACATATGGTATTTGTCCCTTTGGGACTGGCTTATTTCACTCAGCATGATGTGTTCCAGATTCCTCCATTTTGTTGCAAATGACTGGATTTCATTGTTTCTTACTGCGGTATAGTATTCTAAAGAATACATATCCCATAATTTCTTTATCCAGTCTACCGTTGATGGGCATTTAGGTTGGTTCCAGGTCTTGGCTATTGTGAATTGCGCTGCAATAAACATTAGGGTGCAGACCGCTTTTTTATTTGTCAATTTAAACTCCTTTGGGTAAATTCCAAGGAGTGGGATGGCTGGGTCAAACGGTAGGGTTATCTTCAGGTTTCTGAGGAATCTCCAGACTGATTTCCATAGTGGCTTGACCAGTTTGCATTCCCACCAACAGTGGGTTAGTGTCCCTTTTTCCCCACATCCTCGCCAGCATCTGTTGTTGGTAGATTTCTGTATGTGAGCCATTCTAACTGGGGTGAGGTGAAACCTCATTGTGGTTTTGATTTGCATTTCCCTGATTACTAATGACCTTGAACATTTTTTCATGTGCCTGTTGGCCATTTGCATTTCCTCTTTTGAAAAATGTCTATTGAGGTCCTTGGCCCATCTCTTAAGTGGGTTGTTGGTTTTGTTTTTGTGGAGTTTCTTGATCTCTTTGTAGATTCTGGTTATTAACCCTTTATCTGTTGCATAGTTTGCAAATATTTTTTCCCATTCTGTCTGTTGTCTCTTCACTCTCCTGACTGTTTCTTTTGCAGTACAGAAACTTCTCAATTTGATGCAATCCCAATAGTTAATTTTGGCTTTGACTGCTTGTGCCTCCCGGGTCTTTTCCAGAAACTCTTTGCCTGTGCCAATATCTTGAAGGGTTTCTCCAATGTTCTCTAGTAACTTGATGGTGTCAGGTCCTAGAAATGCTCACCCACACAGTTACAGGGTAGTGTCTGTCTGTCTCAGAAATAAATGCCCAGGGACAGAAGTCCACCAATGATTTCCAAATACAAGAATTTCTATGCAAGAAAATGTACATACACAAATAAATCACATACAACACAAGAAGAAACACACAACCTCTGCGGTTAGGGGGCACTGGGCTCTCCCTTCCCTGTTGCTCTGCATTGGGCTCATAACCACCCAAGAAGACCCTTCACACCAGTTTCAGGGTGTGATCACTGATACTCCCCAGGGGTGTGCCCATGCACAACCCTGACCACAGTGACTTCCCTCTCTATGGGGAGCTGGCCATCCTTGCCTGAGATTTTACCCAGAAGGAAAAGAACATTTTGTACAACCCAGGGTCTCAGAGCCTGGACTACAGACTGGGGTAGATGGAGTTGGGCCTCTCCTCTGAGAACTCCCACTCAATCTGAGTTATCTTTATGTATTTGAAAAGCAGGGTGATATGTAGAGAGAGATAGAGGGTGAAGATCTTCCATCTGCTGGTTCACTCCCCAAATGGCCACAAAAGCCAGGGCTAGGCCAGACCAAAGCCAGGAGTCTGGAACTCCATCTGGGTCTCCCACATGGGTGCAGGGACCCAAGGAATTGGACCACCTTCTATTTCTTTCCCAGGTGCATTAGCAGAGGGTTGGATAGCAAGCAGAGCAGATAAGACACAGCTTGACTCCCATATGGGATGCTGGCATCGTAGGTGGTGGCTGAACCCGCTGTGCCATAATGCTGGCCCTTCCTCTGGGTTTTGAGGTTTCCTTTTAGGCAGGATAGGCAGGTACCAGGAAGATGACACCTGGCTGCAGGGTCAGCTATGCCATGGTGCCACCAGAATGTGGATCTGCACACTCCCCAGAGTCAGCTCTGGCCACCATCCCTGAAGATTACACACTCTGGGAGCCAGACTCGGCCAAAATGAACTTGTCCTAGAGATGTGGACCAGGCTAGCTGGAGGGCCACCACACTAGCTTTCTGGGAAACACACGGAACCTACATGCTGTAAGCCCCTTGTCTTGGAGGGGCATTCTGGGCCCACAGCAGGTTTACTAGCCTTCTGAACAACATGACATAAAAGAGATCCAGCTCACCAGGTCAGAGGGTGACTTTCAGTCCTGCTGGCCCATTAAGATATATAAGGAGTGTTTCTAACTTAGGGCCCAACTCTCTTGGGCAAAGAGGTTTAGCCAACTGCTAGAGGTAAGTGGGACTGGGGATTGCACATGTACAACCCAGGACAAAGTAGGACCTAAGGCCGTGGAAAGCCCACGTCCTGTCCCACCTCAAGCAGCAAGTTTCCAGACATCTCTTGGTTTGTTGGTGAGAGAATGAGCCCTGTCTGATGTCCAAAGGGAAACAACCAACTTCCAATAAATCTTTGGCTACACAACTCTGTAAATGTTTATAAACACTGAATGAACCTCTAAAGATGTATGTGTGTGTGTGTTTCTGTGTGTGTTTGTGTAACTACTCACACTTGTTTAAAATTACAGAAAAATTTTCCAGGACCCATCTGCTACATCCTTGTAGCTGAGAACCTTCAACATCCTAGGAATATGGATTCATCACTATCATCACTCTATGTCAGAAAAAGTAATATAGTTAGAAAAATCTATGATTCCTAAATATATGCATCTATAAACTGAAAGTATACACATGGAAACAAATAACACACATCAGGCAGGGAAACACACAACTTGACACACAATCTTTTTTGTCCTCATGACAGTGAGATCTCCTCTCCCACTCTGGATAGCTGGGAGGCAAAAATACCCATGGAGTCCTTTTGCTGCCAAGTCCGGGGTCCCTTGGCTGACACCAATCTTCACGGCCATGTCACTGAACCACCCCGACAGCAGGGACTTCACTCTCAGTGTGGAGCTGGCCACTCTTTCCAGAGAAACAAAGCACATCCTCTGAATACCCAAGGGGACCTGATCCAGGAGTGACAGCTGTACCTGTGCCTTTCCCTTGAGAACGTCTCACTCTCTTTCCTAAAACTACCCTGGAGGCAGCACTCACAGACTTAAGGTGCTACGGTGCTGGACTGGGGATAGCCATGAAGGAAAGGCAGCAAGATGGGAATTAGGGGAATTCTTCGGGCCCAGGAACAGCTCCAGACTGGTATTACCAAGCATTATTAGACCACCGGGTCTGGCCCACACTCCCTTGAGCTGGAAAGTGAACCTGACAAGCTGAGGACCAGCTCACTGACTTGGAAACATTTAGGATCCACATACCTTAGGCCTCTCTCACTTGTGGGGGACACTCTGGACCCACATCTTTCCTTTTACAAAAACACTTGAAAGAGCCTACAGATAGGAAATGGATCCTTTACCTGTGTAGGTGTATTCTTGGGTACAGAATGCTCCAACTCCTAGGAGAAAGAATTCATTACTATTGTAATTTCTAGAAAGGTATACATATACAACTACATACACACATATTGTATAATAATATAGCCACAAATAAATCTACAACTCCCAAATACATGAGTATCACCCTGAAACAGCTCACTGGCTCTCAGTGGGGAGCTGGCCACTCTTCCCAAAGATGCTTACCACAAAGGAAAGTTCATACCTTCAATAACCCATGGAGGACTCAGACACTCAGGTGCCAACAGGGGAGGCTGCAGCTGGGCCTCTCCCTTGAGAACATGTCCTCATTCTGTGTTCTGAGATTGCCATGAGAGCAGTACACATAGGCATGAGGTCAGGTGACTAAAGGGACAAGATGCAGTGCCATCAGAATGTACATGTTTGGGGACTTTCCAGAGACAGATTTGAGTCCAAGCTACTCTGCTTCCAGTCCAGCTTCCTGCTTATGTATCTGGGAAGGCAGCAGAAAACGGCCTAAGTTCTTGAACCCCTGCCACCCAAGTGGGAGACCAGGATGGAATTCCTGGCTCCTGGCTGTGGCTCGTTCCACACTTGATGGCTGTAGCAATTTGGGAAGTAAACCAGTAGATGGAAGTGCTCTCTCTCTCTCTCTCTCTTCGCTCTCTCTCTCTCTCTTTTCTCTCTCTTTCCTCCTTGCTCTCTCTTGCTCTGCCTTTCATATAAATAAGTAAATCTTTCTGAAAAATCAACTGCAAGTTATGTATGGAAAAACTGAAAAAGTGACTACAAATACCCAAAGATTCAGACTCAGAAAAGATGCAAGAGAATCTAAAGCCCACCCTTAGGCTGACCCCAGGCATATATATAATGTACAATATACACATACATGTACATACACATAATGCATACACACATATGTATATACATGCACATACATATAATGGACATTAATTAAAAATGAGAAAATGTTAACCATGAACAGCAAACGTGGGGCGGGGAAGATTTCCAGAGTTATCACATTATGGATTAGAAGGTCTTGTTGGGGGAGGCCCAGGATGGTTGTATAGGGTGTAACCCGCTAGTCCCCAGCTGCCCTGGGACACAAAAAGAACAAAGGAGGCACCACACTTCCAGGGGTCTCACTGACAGAGATGTTTGGCGAAGAAGTAAAGAAACAAGAAAGACTCTGTGGGACAAGAGGAGAGAAGGAGACCCTGCTGCAGCCACACAGCAGACCAGCTGCCAGCTTGAGAGCGGCCATCTTGCCACGTCAAGGCAGGAAGCAAGTGCCCCGGGCCCCTCCCTCACAGCTTTAGCTGAGAGGTAATTCCAGTCACCTGATGACCCCCACGTCTGCCTACAGAGCTGACTGTGGTCTCAGCGACCGCCAGGCTTGCAGAAGGGAAGCCACATGGATCCCTGCCCCTCCCTGACTCTGCAGAGAGCCATACTCGGCAACAAAAAGTCACACAAACCTCTATTCACTCCTGCCAGCATCAGCATCAGGGCAACATGTGGGGCAAAGACAGACCACCTGCTTGCTGCAGCTAGGAGAGTTTGGGGCATGAGCCCCAGAGCTATGCTCACCATTCTATGTGAGCCAGGAGGATTCACCTTAGCTTCTGGGCGATAACACCAAAAACAACCCATAAAAAATCTGCTCCACCCTGGGAGATCTGGGTAATGACTCCACTATACCCTGCAACACAAAGACCATAGCAATCAGTTCTTAATGTCTCAGTGCCACTGGAATCTCCCTGGGGGACCTAGGGAAGACCCTACCTGCAATCGATCACTCTGGACTCATACACTCCAGAGCACAATGTCCTGTCTCCCTTGCATTCACACTGTAGGACTGGACCAATGTTCAGTTCACATCCGCTGGTCCTAGGACTAGGGCTGTTGGTGTTCTAAGCCACAGCACCAGTTGGACTCCCTAGTAGGGTGGAGGAAAGGTCCATCCACATCCCACAGTCTTAGAGCTACGGCAATCCATGTCACAAGCCCTGGCATCACTCAGGTCAGCAGGATGAGGGAACACCCATCCTTGTCTTCCTCAGCACAAAGAACAAGGCCCTAGCTATCACCATCACCAGGAAGACTGATGCCAAACTTGTCGTGGACCAAAGACACACATGCTAGAAAATCCATATTCATCTAAAGCCACACTCGCATCCCTACAAACTGTAGCATACGAAACCACTGTATCACCTGCAGATACACTGACACTGATTAAGTCAAAGAAATCACTGAGACTACATTCCCAGGCACACCTAGAACCAAAGACAAAGGTACAAGTCAAGTGATACCCTGCATTCCAGCTAAAGCATAAACCCATTTCCTATAAAAATTACTCCATAAAGAGGAAGGGACAAGTACACAAGATGTGCAGAGGTCAACCTAGGAACACAGGAGGCATGAAGAAGCAAGGTAGCATAATGCCTCCAAAATAACACAATAATCCTGCAGAATTAGATCCTGAGCTGAAGGAAATCTATGGAATGACAGATACAGAATTCAAAATAATGATGGTAAGGAAATTCAGTCAGATACAAGAGAACATTATAGACAGACAGACTAAAGAAATGAGAAAATCAATGAGTGACATGAATGAAAATATTTCTAATGATGTAGAACTCATTAAGAAGAACCCAACAGGCTAAGCCTCCATCTGCTGTACCAACACCCATAAAGCTGCCAGTTCATGTCCCAGCTGCTCCTCTTCCAATCCAGCTCTCTGGTATGGCCTGGGAAAGTTGTGGAAGATGACCTAGGTGCTTGGGCCCCTCACCCTGTGGGAGACCAGAAGTTTCTGGTTCCTGGCTTTGGGTTGGCTCAGCTCTGGCCATGGCAGCCATTTGGGGAGTGAGTTAACAGATGATAGACTTTTCTGTCTTCCTCTCTTTCTAACTGTAACTCTCAAATAAGGAAATAAATTTTTTTTTGACAGGCAGAATAAGACAGTGAGAGAGAGAGAGAGAGAGAGAGAGAGAGAGAAAGGTCTTCATTCCGTTGATTCACCCCTCAAATATCAGCTACAGCTGGTGCACAGCACCAATCCGCAGCCAGGAACTGGGTATTTCTTGCTGGTCTCCCATGCGGATGCTGGGCCCAAGTACTTGGGCCATCCTCTACTGCCTTCCCTGGCCACAGCAGAGAGCTGTACTGGAAGAGGAGTAACCAGGACAGAATCTGGCGCCCCAACTGGAACTAGAACCCAGGGTGCCTTAAAAAGTACCAAACAGAACCGGAGCCGTGCCTCAATAGGCTAATCCTCCGCCTGGCAGTGACGGCACACCGGGTTCTAGTCCTGGTTGGGGTGCCGGATTCTGTCCCGGTTGCCCCTCTTCCAGGCCAGCGCTCTGCTATTGCCTGGGAGTGCAGTGGAGGATGGCCCAAGTGCTTGGGCCCTGCACCCCATGGGAGACCAGGAGAAGTACCTGGCTCCTGCCTTCGGATCAGCACAGCACACTGGCCGCGGCGGCCATTAGAGGGTGAACCAATGGAAAAGGAAGACTTTTCTCTCTGTCTCTCTCTCCCACTGTCCACTCTGCCTGTCAAACAAATAAAAATAAAAAGTAAATAAATAAATAAGTACCAAACAGAAATTTTGGAAATGAAATTTTCAATCAATGAAATACAATATATGACTTAGATCACTAACAGCAAAATAGACCAATTAGAGGAAAGAATTTCTGACCTCGAGGGTAAAACTTGAAATAAAGCAATCAGACAAAAATAAAGAGAAAATAATTCAAAGGAATGAACAAAGTCTATGTGAAATATGGGATACCATTAAATGACTAAATATTTTAGGCAATCCTGAAAGATAGGAAAAGGAGAAAGGTGTTGAGAACCTGCTAAATAACGTAATAGTTGAAAATGTTCCGTGTCTTTAAAGAGACACTGAAATCCAGATACAAGAAGCCCAAAGAACACCAAGTAGACTCAACCAAGAAAGATCTCCCTAAGGCAAATTTAGTCAAACTGTTGAAAGTTAAAGACAAAGAGAGAATTGTAAAGACAGCCAGAGAAAAGAATCAAGTTCCATATAGAGAAAAACCAATTAGATAATATCAAGCATCCCACGTAGGTGACACTTGGAGTCCCCACTGCTCTATTTCCGATACAGCGCTCTGCTGTGACCTGAGGAAGCAGGAGGAGATGGCCCAAGTCCTTGGGCCCCTGCACCCTCGTGGGAGACCCAGAAGAAAAGCAGTTCCTGCCATTGTGGCCATTTGGGGAGTGAACCAGCAGAGGGAAGACCTCTCTCTCTCTGTCTCTACCTCTGTCTGTAACTCAAACTCTCAAATAAATAAATAAATAAAATCTTCAAAAAAAAAAGTTCACCAAGAATATTATATCCAGCAAAGCTATCCTTTAAAAGTGAAAAAGAAACAAGGCATTTTCCAGTTAAGCAAAAAGTGAGAGAGTTCACCACTACAAGACCAGACTTCCAAAAAACTCTGAAGGGCTTCCTGCATTAGAAATAAACATGAAAACACAGGACACCAACAAATACAGTAACAGAGCAGGTAGAATCAGTGTCCAATCAACAAAATAAATGTCTTAGTTCTTTTCTATCAATACTTCCCTTGAATATAAATGGATTAAATTCTCCAACCAAAAGACTTAGATCGGCTGCATGGATAAAAAATCAAGACCCCACTATAGGCTGCCTACAAGAACTTACTTCACCAAGACACACACAGTCTGAAAGTGAGGGGTTGGAAAAAGATATACTAGGCAACTAGAAACCAAACTGAGCAGGCATAGCTATTCTGATATCAGGTAACACAGACTTTAAATTAAAAATTGTAAAAGAGATAAAAAGGACACTATATTTTTATACAATTCAGCAAGAAGACATAACAATCAGAAGTATGTGTATACCCAACACAAGACCACTCAGATATATACAGCAAATAGTACTAGACCTCAAGGAAGAGACAGACTCCAATACATCACAGTGGGTGCCTTCAACACCCAACTCTCACCAAAGGACTATCATGCAGACAGAAAATCAATAAAGATACATCAGAGTTGAAACCGACTATCGAGCAAGTGGACATAGCAGACATGTCCAGGACATTTCACCCGTAGCTACAGAACACACGTTCTTCTCATCAGCACACGGAACATTCTCCAGGATAGGACCCCATGTTAGGCCACACATAAGTCTCAGCAAATGTGAAAAGACTGAAATCATATCATGTAATTTCTCAGACCAGAAAGCAATAAAACTAGAAATCAACAACAAGAACAATGTAGGCCAGTGCCGTGGCTCACTAGGCTAATCCTCCGCCTTGCGGCGCCGGCACACCGGGTTCTAGTCCCGGTTGGGGCGCCGGATTCTGTCCCAGTTGCCCCTCTTCCAGGCCAGCTCTCTGCTGTGGCCAGGGAGTACAGTGGAGGATGGCCCAAGTGCTTGGGCTTTGTACCCCATGGGAGACCAGGATAAGTACCTGGCTCCTGCCATCGGATCAGCACGGTGCGCCTGCCGCAGCGCGCTGGCCGCGGCAGCCATTGGAGGGTGAACCAATGGCAAAGGAAGACCTTTCTCTCTTCTCTCTCTCACTGTCCACTCTGCCTGTCAAAAAAAAAAAAAGAACAATAGAATACTCATAAATACTTGGAAATTAAACATGCTACTGATTGATCAATGGGTCATCGAAGAAATTAAAATGAAAAACTTTCTTGAAACAAATGAAAATGAGAACACAACGTATCAAAACCTGTGAGACACAGCAAAGGCAGTATTAATAGGGAAGTTTACAGCATTAAGTGTTTACATCAAAAAAGACAAATCCCTCAAATTAAAGATCGAATGATGTATCTTGAAGACTTAGAAAAATGAGAAAAAACCAAACCCCAAATCAGCAGGAGGTCAGAAATAATTAAGGATCAAAGTAGAAATAAAGGAAATTTGGAAATTTTAAAAAATCAACAAAGGAAAAAGTTGGCATTTTGAGCAGATAAAGAAAATAGATAAACCTCTAGCCACACTAACAAAGAAAGAGAGAGAGAAAACTCAAATAAAATTAGAGATGAAAAAGGAGATATTTCAACCAACAGCACTGAAATGCAAAATCTTACAAGAAATTACTGTGAAGAACTGCATGCTAATAAACTGGAAAACCTGGAAGAAATGGATAAACTCCTGGATACACATAACCTACTAAGACTAAATCAGGAGGACTGGCGCTGTGACACATTAGGTTAAGCCCTGGCCTGCAGTGCCAGCATCCCATATGGGCACCAGTTTGAGTCCCAGCTGCTCCATTTCCCATTCAGTCTCCTGCAAATCTGCCTGGGAAAGCAGCGGAGAATTGTCCAATACCTTGGGTTCCTGCACCCAAAAGAAGCTCCTGGCTCCTGGCTTCAGGTCGGCTCAGCTCCGCCATTGCAGCCATTTGAGGAGTGAAAGATCTCTACAATGATGAAAGATCTCTCTCTCTCTCTCTCTCTCTCTCTCTCTCTCTCTCTCTCTCTCCTTGTCTCTACCTCTACCTCTACCTCTCTGTAACTCCTTTGAATAAATAAAATAAATCTTAAAAAAAAAAGACTAAATCAGGAAGACATACAGAACCTAAATGGACTTGTAACAAGCAATGAGATTGGGGCAGTAACCAAAAGTCTTACATCGGGAAAAGCCCAGGACCTGATAGTTTTGATGCTGGATTCTATAAAACATTCAAAGAGCAAGTAACTCCAATACTTTTCAAATTATTAATTATTCCAAATACAAAACAGCATGGAACTCTGCCAAACTCTTTTTATGAGCCCAGTAACACTTTGATACCAAAACCAAACAAAGATATGACATGAAAAGAAACCTACAAACGAGACCCTCAATGAACATAGATGCAGATTCTCAAAAAAATTAGCAAATTAAATCCAAGACCACATCACAAAGATCACACATGATGATCCAGTGGAATTTATCCTAGAAATGCAAGCGTGCTTGAACATTCACAAATCAATAAGTGTCATAAATCACACCAATAGAATGAAGAACAAAAAGCATGTGGTTGGGGCCTTCACTGTAGCATCGTGGGCGAAGCCTCCACCTGTGCTGCTGGCATCCCATATGGGCACCAGTTCATACCCCGGCTGCTCCTCTTCCCTCTCTCTCTCTGTAACTCTACCTCTCAAATAAATTTTTAAAAGCTCTTTAAAAAAAAAAAACCCATATGGTCAATTCAATAGATGCAGATAAAATTCAACACCCCTTGGGCCAGCGCTGTGCGCAGCGGGATAATGCCCTGGCCTGAAGCACCAGCATCCCGTATGGGCACCGAGTTCTAGTCTCGGTTGTTCCTCTTACAGTCCAGCTCTCTGCTGTGGCCCGGGAGTGCAGTGGAGGATGGCCCATGTGTTTGGGCTCTGCACCCGCACGGGAGACCAGGAGGAAGCACCTGGCTCCTGATTTTGGATCAGTGCAGTGCTGGCCATGGTGGCCATTTGGGGAGTGAACCAATGGAAGGAAGACTTTTCTCTCTGTCTCTCTCTCTCACTGTCTGTAACTCTACCTGTTTTTTTTTTTTTTTAAAAAAGCATCAGGCACTCGGGGCTCCCATTGTCCCTCCACCTCAGGCTCTGACAGAAGCGGCCTCTCCCCAGACCACACTGCAGGGTGTGACAGATTCTCTGGTTTCTCTCCTGCTGTGTAGACATCTGCCCCTCCTGAGTCTCCCCTAAGCAATACTAAATCCACAAGAACTCTAGTCTGACCTGACGGCATCCATTATACTCCTCAAGGACAGATATTTTTGTAAAGTAAACTTAGCTAAGACATTAAGTGAGGAAGTAAAGACCCCAGCAGAGAACGTTCTGGAAAACGAGGGTGTCTCAGGTGCTGCTTCCCAGAAACCTCCCTCTTCAAGCACCCGTGTCACATCGGGAGCCTTTTCCTCTCTGTGAACGTGGCTTCAAGTCTCCCTGAAGGTGCAGCGGTGCCTCCTCCGGTTGCAACAGAAGCAGCCGGGGGTGCACTTTCCTGGACAGAGGCAGCCAGACAACAGTGGGAAATGCACATGTGTGCTGCCAGGCTCAGGGCAGCCAAGGTGCTTTGGGGCTCCACCTGCTGGCCGTTTTGTCCACACTGCAGGATGCTCAGAACCGTTGACTTCTTCCCTGCTGCCCCCTGCTGGACTACTGACTGAGTCGCTGTCCAGTGGTTTTCATAGATGGGGATTAGTTAGGCATCCTGTGCACGACAGCAGATGGAGACAAAAAGAAGCAAAGACACCGTCGGATATAGATGTCTATGCACCTACATTATACCAGCGAAGAACAATTGCCATTTACAGGTTACCAAATAGCATTTACTAGACACTGAAAAATAAAGGAGTTACACATCTAGCAATATACGTGCAAAACTACATCCAAAATTATGAAACAGAGTACAGGAATAAAATAAACATAAGCGGACAATTCTACCTCTTTTTTTATTTTTTGACAGGCAGAGTGGACAGTGAGAGAGAGAGACAGAGAGAAAGGTCTTCCTTTGCCTTTGCTTCAGCTCCAATGGCCGCTGCGGCCGGCACGGTGTGGCAGGCACACCGCGCTGATCCGATGGCAGGAGCCAGGTACTTATCCTGGTCTCCCATGGGGTGCAGGGCCCAAGCACTTGGGCCATCCTCCACTGTACTCCTGGGCCACAGCAGAGAGCTGGCCTGGAAGAGGGGCAACCGGGACAGAATCCGGTGTGCCGGGGCCACAAGGCGGAGGATTAGCCTAGTGAGCCGCTGCGCCGGCCAATTCTCCCTCTTTATTATTTGCAAAGTGAGAATGAAAATGCCAATGTTTTTCTCAACCGTATCTATGGGGCAGCCCCACTCAAATTTCCCTGGAGCTGTTTCACAGATCCTGACAAAGAATGTACACACCCAGATCCCACACCTTATGGAAAATGTGACACAACACAGACCCACATCGCTGGGTCAGAGGGCAATGCTGGGCCTTCCCAAAGGTATGCACGAGGTGTGACTGACACAGGGCCCTCCACTGTGGGGTGACGGGGACTGTCACAACCACTGGAGGAAGCCATGGATGCAAATCACCATGCACAAGGCCCAGAGCCAGTTTTACATCGATGGAGGCTGTCAGTAAGGGCTTCTATCATCCAAGGGGCCCTACAACTTCATCCCGTCCATGGTTCCTCAGTAGGAAGTGGGACATGTACTGTGTCCATAGCGAAAGAACCCTACTGGAAAACCCTTACCTATGTCGCTTATGGAAGTATGAACAAAAGTGAGTGAACCAGTAAGACATGTAACTATTTAAATACTTATAAATTCTATGAACTAGTTAATCTTCCTTTACCTGTGTAGCTGTATCCTTGCATCTGGGAAGCTTCAACATCCTAGGAGGAAAGAATTGGTACCATCATAACTTACACAGATGTCTACTTCCTGAATGGATAAATTGTTTATCCTCCTGAATGGATAAATGTACATGATCCAACTTCATGCTGTCTACACTCAATTCACAGATAAATATACATATAAGCTAAAAATGTAAGGATTGGAGGGGCCAGCATTTTGGCACAGTGGGTAAAGCGACAACCTGCAGGCCGGTATCCCATAAGGGTGCCAGTTCAAGACCCGGCAGCTCCACATCCAATCCAGCTCTCTGCTATGGCCTGGGAAAGCAGTAGAAGATGGCCCAAGTCTTTGGGCCCCTGCACCAGCGTGGGAGACCCAGAAGAAGCTCCTGGATCCTGGCTTCAGATTGGCTCAGCTCAGGCCATTACAGACAACTGGGGAGTAAATCAGCAGGTGGAAGACTTCTCTCTCTGCCTCTGCCTCTCTGTACCTCTTTTTTTTTTTTAAAAAAAAAAGAGCAAAAATGAAGGGTTGGAAAAAGATATATCATGTAAATGGAAACCAGCAACAAGCTGCAGGAACCATATTGGTATCAGATAAAATAGACTTTAAATTAAGAGCTGCAAAAAGAGACAAGGATATCATATATTCATAAAAGGATCAATTCATCAAGATAATATAACATATATGAAAATACAGGCACACAAGACCATACAAATACAGTAAATATTATTAGGGCTAAAGGGAGAGATAGACTCCACCACAGTAATACCAGGAGACTTCAACCACTGACAGGCATCAAAGAAACATCAGAGTTGTACCATATCATAGAGCAAATTGACCTAGGAGACTTTAAACAACATTTCCCCAACAATTATAGAGTACACATTCTACTCATCAGCACATGGAACATTTTCTAGGATAGACCCCAGATGAGGCCACAAATCAAGACTCAGTAAACAAAAAAAATAAATTGACATCATGTATATTTTCAAGCCACAAAGGAAAACATTTAGAAATCAATTATGCGGGCTGGAGCTGTGGTGTAGAGGGTGAAGCTGCCTCCTGCAGTGCCAGCATCCCATATGGGAGCTGGTTCGAGTCCTGGCTGCTCCACTTCTGATCCAGCTCTCTGCTATGGCCTGGGAAAGCAGTAGAAGATGGCCCAAGTCCTTGGGCCTCTGCACCCATGTGGGAAACCTGGAGGAAACTCCTGGATCCTGCCTTCGAATCAGCATAGCTCCAGCTATTGTGGCTAACTGGTGAGTGAACCAGCGAATGGACGCCCCCCACCCTCCGCTGCTTCTCCTCTGTGTAATTCTGACTTTCAAATAAATAATAAATCTTTAAAAATATTAATTGTAACAACAGAAAATCTGCAAATACATGGAAATTAAACAACATGCTACTGAATGACTAATGGATCATGGAAGAAATTAAAGTAGAAATAAAAATTCTTGAAACAAATGAGAATATCAACAACACATATCAAAATCTCAGGACAGCCAATGCAGTATTCCGAGGAAGGTTTACAACAACAAGCTTCCCTTAAAATGGAAAGATCTCAAATAAATTATCTAATATTCATGTTAAAGACTTGGAAAAGCAAGAAAAACCATACCCAAAATTAGTAGGAGGTGAGAAATCAAGAGAATCAGAGCAGAAATTAATGAAACTCAAACAAAATTAACAACTCTTAAAATCAAAAAAAAGGGAAAAGATGGTTTTTGAAAAATAAGCAAAACAGCTAAATCTTTAGCCAACTAACAAAGAAAATAGAGAAAAAAGCTAAAATAAATAAAATTAGAGATGAAAAATGATACCACAGAAACACAAAGAATTACAAGTGACTCCTGTGAATGACTTTGTGCTATCAACTTAGAAAACCTTGAAGAGATGGATGAATTCCTGGGTGCACGCTATCTGCCAATAATACATCAAGAAGATATAGAAAACCATAACAATGTGATTGAAGCAGTACCTAAAGTCTCCTGTCAAAGAAAGGTCCAGGACCTGATGTCTTTACAACTGAATTCTACAGAACATTTAGACAGGAACTAACTCCAATACTTGCAAATTATTCCAAAATGCTGAAAATGAAAGAATTCTGCTGAATTCTTTTTATGAGGCCAGTGTTACTCTGATACCAAAACCAAACAAAGACATAACATAAAAAGTAAACTATAGACCAATATTCCTGATACACACAGATGTAGAAATTCTCAACAAAAGATTAGCAAACTGAATCCAACACTACATCAAAAAGATCATAACCGTGATCAACTAGCATTTACCCCAGTGGTGCAAGTGTGGTTCAACATTCACAAACCCATAAATATCGTAAGTCACAGTAGCAAACTGAAGAACACCATATGATCATCTCGATAGATGCAGAGAAATCATGATTCAGCATCCCATCTCTATAAAAACCCTCAACAAATTAGTTCTACAAGGAGCATATCTCAAAATGATACACCTATATGTGTGTGCATGTATGTATATGAAAAACTGGCAATCAGTATCATCCTGAATACAGAACACTTGAAACCAGATCCAGAACAAGACAAGGATGTCCAATTTTTACCACTCGTACTTGATATAG